CGAGATAGGTAGATAGGGCAGCCATGCAAGGCGAGACGAAACTGTGAAAACAGTGGGCCCTTAACCTCATCAGATACGGGAAACCCATATGACTATACTGAGGTATTCAGTGAGTTAAGCTCGACACTAGATCTCGAACATGTTAAGCACAGTACAGATGCTTGGGGGAAGATTGTCTGCATAAGCGATTACTATGACCCAACCATCAAATGATTGGTGTGACGGTTGGGTCGTACGTGTCAGTATTAACGAAAAGGACTCCGGCTCTGGTGACCGAATGCCGAGCAAACACGCTGTTTGTGATATAGCAGCACTAGTGTGTTGTTCGCATGCAGTGGAGCTGCCATTTGGTCGTAACGCGTAGTCGATAACACGAGTCAGAAGGGTTGTAAAGATCTCAGTCTTAATCTCTTCGGGGGGATAGATGATTAGCTATACACGTCCCATCGCACACAATGGATAGGAGCAGTAACACTTTCACCTCCGAATGAACGTTGATCTTCGATTAATGATGAAAAGGGTGCTATACACTCAAACGAAGTATCGGCGGTGTATTACAGTCTGGCACCCTAACTCTTTTCAATATAGCGGGTTAGACGAATGCTGAAATTTCAAGTTCACGAACTCACTCTTGTGTACGTGCTGCTTCCAGCACTGCAAAGTAGCAATCGCATGCACACCTCAGCAACTACAAGTATACAACCACAATTCAAAATACGACAAACTACACCTCGCGATATGATGCAGCGAGGCTAGCAAGATAAGTAATCCAAAGCCCGAGCGCTTAGGGTCACAGATCAACGCTGCCGTGCGAATCGCACGGTGCGATGTCCCACCTTCACCGTACGACCCAGATTCAAAACCTGCTCCTTACTTTGGCTGCCACAACTGTGTCTCTAATTGTGTTGTCCGAGATAACACACTTCTGATTACCTTTGTTCTCTAGCTTTTCCATTAACGAAATGCTACTTTCTCTGATGGCTAGTGTTGAGTCTAGTAGTGATATGTCAGCAGACTCAGAGAGGACTGATCGCAACAGCTCCTCGACCCTAGAGAACCGCGCACTGTGCAATACAATCTGGTTATCTCACTTTTTCGCTAGTATGTAGACATCGAATAAGGAACCGAGAACAAGCAGCCAGTACTGCCTCCGTCAACAGGAGGAGTAGTGTTGTGGTCGGTTACTACGCAATTGACAGTACGAATTGGATAAACGTAAGTTTGATGGTTTTACTGCACGACAGGGTGAGAATAGATGGTCCAAAATGATCCGAACACGCTCAACCGCTGATAGGCTGATGGACGTACTTATCAGTCGTAGTGGTAGTAACGTGGTCAATCACGGTTAAACTAACCGTATGCAGTCGTAGTACGACATCGACACTATGGTTACATGAGCGTTCTCGATGGTCATTGATGTACTACTGAGACTAACTCATATTCAATTAACGGATGGAAACAATCAAACTATGGAGAACATAATAGCAATCTAACTGGACTAGCTTCCCCAGCATATAGCAGTCAATGATCTACAGTGCTTGAGGATGGCTACCTATACTACCGATAACAGACGATGACTCAGACGGGAGAGAATAGATCGCCTCATTGTGGCGAATAAGCACATAGAATATGATAGTGCATAGGCCGCGGACGCCAGCAAGAATGATAAGAGCACGAGACATAGCTCGCTCTAGTTCTGCGAAATACCAGACTG